GCTTAGCTTATATACGGTCCCCCCACCACCTACCTACCTATATGTATCTAACCAAACGTATTTTGTGACAGTCCTGTACACACATATATAAACCAAAACGCATAGTGAAAAACAATTTAAAACCCTTATAGCTATCATTCCAAGTGAACATCGATATTTCAGCATACCAACTACAGGATGATATATCCAAGGCTATTGTTTCCCTACTAACTAAACTTACAAGAGCGTTCTAAAGGCCCCTTGCATACGTCATACCAGTGATATAATACATAGCAACATACCTTGCCTACTAGACATGTCTGGATTTTGAAAACTACGAAACTGCTCAGTAATTCATTCAAGTAACAGGAAATAAATCACTTATCATATAATGCTAATTTAAAAAGAAACGTTTTCAATCAAGTACAATTTACACTGGAATGACAGCTGCGAGAAAGACAAGTTATACACATATAAAAATTATTAAGATATACAAAAATGACGCAACAAAACATGAAAACATTTTGAACCTGAACAAACAAAATGTTTCACAGAATTTTCTAGTTAAAAATTCTTTATATATAAAGACTCCCAAGTTTAACTGTTCTTCTACAGCCATAGCAACTCGTGCTAAAGTAAACCAGAACAGCTGGCTTTGTCCCACCAGGTTCGGGCATATAAACAGCTCGCAACATTGATATTTATTTATTTTAGTTTCAAAGGCTAGATGAAAGTCTGCCTGCAATCAACCCGTAACATAATTATGAGGCCACAAAATTAATGCCTATCAGACTTAGTGTTTATTTAGTCTAAATGTTTCCTGCTTTTCCTCCGGTCATATTAAAATATGTTTGTCTGGCAGGAAACCAGTCTGCTGATGAGTACAGCTTTAACTGTTACTATAAAGCTGTTATTCAAACAGGGATAATTACACCTACCATAAACCATTCATCTATTTCTTGTTATAACAACACCGGAAGTCTGTCAGAATATATTCTACACATCATTCAAGTACGACTAATGTGTGAGTGCATTATTTACCTTTTCATTTTCGTAATTTTTTTTTCAGCAGTTCTAAATCTTTCTGAAAGTAACAACTCGTTGAATATTACCTACAGATGGGATTTTGTCTTCGTACTCCGTCTCACAGCATAATTCACACTTTCTGATGACTTAACACACTATACAAAACACCTCAGCTTTCAAATCACCCTATACATCCTTTCGAGGGTCTAACATTTTTCGCGAATTTCTTACATTACTTAAATCTTTCATGAAAATTCACAATCTTCACAAACTTTATGTAGATGTAGGCCCGGCATTGCCAGGTGGCTAGGGCGCTCGACTTGCAATCTGCGGGTTCGAATCCCCGTCACACCAAACATGCTCGTCCTTTCAGCCGTGGGGGCGTTTTATT